ACACTTGTCACACTAGGGACCAATCACTTCCACTCTGGACTCCACTTTCCTTTACCTGTGAAACCGCAGTGGTGCCACCATCTGGGTAGTCCCTTCAATCCGGCTGCGAACCATTCGGGGTGAAGCTCAGGGTTGGAGGGTTCCATCCTCACTCGATCTCCAGGCTCCTCCCTAGTTCCCGTTGCCAGCCTAAGCCTCATTCCCCACGACTGACAGCTAGGACAGTCCAAGCTATTTTTGGCTTGGCTACCCTGCCCCTCCCACAATGGGCCTCGCCTGGCTCAGGCCCAGTGCCTTTCTGCTGGCATCGCCCTGAGTCCTGCTTCTTTGGCTCTCGCTCCCACAAACTAGCCATGCCTGGGAGAAGAGGCTACCCTCCCTACTCGGGACACCATCCGGGGTGCGTCCCCTCAGCCCCTGCCTGCCGAGTCTGGGATCCTCAGTCCTGCCCAGACTGGGAGCCCCCACGGCCATCGCCGCTGCTGTGCCGTGACATGGCCCTGCAGAACGCCCTGTACACCGGAGACCTGGCGAGGCTGCTGGAGCTGTTCCCCCCGCACAGCACAGCCGACCTGCTGCTGGAGAGCCGGGCTGCGGAGCCTCGATGGAGCAGCCACCAGAGAGGTGAGGGGCAGCAGGGGACGGGGCTGAGGACCAGGGGGCTGGGCCGACAGCATCAGGCAGAGGTAGCAAGTGCTAAAGGAAAAGAAGCCCCTGGCAGCTCCTCCCTCACCCCAAGGCTTGCCTAAACCTTGGCCCAGGAGTGAAGTCATGCGGAGCCCAGAATAGCTCCTGCTGAACTGCGTGGCCAGGTCAGGCTCAGCTCAGGCTCAGCTCAGGGACAGAGACCCTCTCCTTCCATCTGTCTGTGTTTCTTTTCCTTTTCTCTCTCTGCCTGTGGCCCCAACCTCTCCTCCCCCAGAGCCCCCTTCCCATATGCTCACTCTCTGCCCCAATGAGCTGGTCCCCAGATGAGTGCAGGGGGTGGGAAGAGCCCCCGGGTGACAGACGTGCCCTCTGTGCCAGGCTGGTGGAGAAGCCCAGCAGTGGGTCTGCAGAACACCCAGAGTCTGGCCCGGGACCCATCGTCACCCGCACGGCCTCAGGACCTGCCCTGGCCTTCTGGCAGGCATTGCTGGCGGGGGACGTGGGCTCCGTCTCCCGCATCCTCGCCGACTCCAGCGCTGGCCTGGCACCAGATTCCATCTTTGATACCAGCGACCCAGAGCGGTGGAGGGATTACCGCTTCAACATTCGCGCTCTGAGTATGGCCAGGGGGCACTGGGGGGTCTGAGCAGGAGAAGGGAGGCTGGGAATGGAGCTCTGGGCTCCCTCTGCCCACCTCCCTTGTTACCTGGCAGCTCTTTGCTTCCCTCCAGGATCTGAGGCCGGTGTCTCCTCTCTCCCCAGGACTCTGGTCTCTGACTTACGAAGAGGAGCTGACCACCCCACTGCACGTGGCAGCCAGCCGGGGCCACGCGGATGTGGTGCAGCTGCTGCTGAGGCGGCGGGCAAAGCCAGACAGTGCCCCCGGGGCCGCACCGCCCTGCACGAGGCCTGTGCCGCAGGACAACACTGCCTGTGTCCATGCCCTGCTGGTGGCAGGAGCCGACCCCAACATCCCTGACCAGGATGGGAAACGCCCCTTGCACCTCTGCCAGGGGGCTGGCACCCTCGAGTGAGTGACTCCTCACCCTAACCCCCACCCACTCGTAGGGGAGATAAAGCCATGACCTCGGGGGGGCGGGGGAGCATGTCAGGGGTTAACAGGCTGGGTGGAGGAGTCAGGGCTCAGGTAGGGAGTCAGGATGCAATTGCTCCTCAAACCATCCAACCATTGGTCCCAGGAAGTTTGGAATGGCCTGAACTTGGGACAGTTTCTGCCTCCCCAGAGGTGGAGGAGGGCTGTGTCAGGGGTTGGCCGCATGGCCTGCACTGGAGAACTTGTCTGGATTCATTCTGGGGGATCCATCCTGTGCCATAAAGTTTTCATGTGTTCTACAGCAACTGAGGCACAGTCTTCCCTCAGGGATCGACTATCCGGTGATCCAGACAGGCTGTAAGGATAGTGACTTCCAGTTAGAGTCTGCATTGGTCCCTGGGGACAGGGTCTGGTTTCCAGAATGGCAGACACCCTCAGTAATGGGCTCAGGGACCGAGTCCAGCTAACCAAACTCTAAGAAACTAATGGATATACCCAAATGTGACAAAAGTATTGTTTACTGTATGGAATATTCCAAATAATTATGCCCCATGTGCAGGGGACCTTGGAGGATGAGTCCTCACAATTCTTTGAGCATGGAATCCCCCAAAGGAAGCCGTTGCAAACTGTTGACTAATTGCACCCACAACGGAGGCCCTCTCTCTACTGACTACACACCTGCCAAATTTCACATCCTGCCCTGAATGGTGCCAATTTTTTTATCCTTGAGTCCTTCTTTCATGGACCTTCTTCCACCTGTTAACCTCGTCAGCTTTCAGAGGACTCCACTGACTTAATATGTTGAAGACATGTCCTACACCGGCATAGTCCCAGAGAAATACACTTGTGGGTGTGAGCCACGTAGGTAATTTAAATTTTCCAGTAGCCTTATCATAAAATGAAAAAGAAACAGGTGAAATTAATTTTTTAAACAGTGGTAAAATACCCATAGCTTAAAATTTACCATCTTAACCATTTCTAAGTATGCAAGTACATTCACATTGTTGTGTAACCATCATCACCATCCATCCAACTCCTGAAGTTTTAATCTTACAAAATGAAATTCCAGCCCTATTAACAATAACTTCCCATTCCCCCACCCCTTACGGCAACCACCATTCTACTTTCTGTCTCTATGACTTTGACTCCTCTGACTACCTCACATAAGTGGAATCATATAGTGTTTGTCCTTTTGTGACTGACATATCACTTAGCATAATGTCCTCAGGGTTCATCCATGCTGTAGCATGTATCAGAATTTCCTTCCTTTTTAAAGGTTGCATAATATTCTATTGCATGTAGATGCCACATGTCAGTTGCCCATTCATTCATTTATTGATGGAGACTTAGTTTGCTTCCATGTTTTGGCTGTTGTGAATAATGCTGCTGTGAACATGTGTATACAAATATCTGTGAAACAACTGAAATTAATTTTAATAATATATTTCATTTAACAAAATATATCCAAAATGTTATCATTTCAACATATAATCAATAGCAAAAAAACCTAATGAGATGTTTTACATTCTTGTTTTGTACTATCTTCAAGTTGATGTGTTTTTACACTTAGTGGGTATCAATTAGGACTAATCATATTGCAAGTGCTCAATAGCCACAAGTGGCTGATGGCTACTGATTGGACAGCACAGTTCCGCCTGGTGACGTCATCAGCCTTCAGAGGGCTCCTATTTTTAGCTCTGGCCATGTTCCAGCCCAGCCCCCTTGAAGTGACACCCAGTGATGATCCTTCCTTCCTTTCTTGAGTAAGCAAATGTATATCTAAAATCATTACGGAGAATTTCAAACACGGAAATGTGGGCGGGATAAGATAATGATTCATCATCATCTAGACCGCCCACCTCTCCCTGCCATTAACGCTGCTGCTAAGAGTCCTTATGATAACAGCTTTTCAGGCCTATGCTGCCCACAACAGCCTCATTTAGGTCTAGATTTCAGCAATTATCCCTATTCTACAGATGAGGAAGCTGGAGCTTATCTTAGCAAAGAGGCTAATGCCTTTAGCCTTGAAGTCTGGCTGGTCAGTTTTGTTTTTGTTTTTCTTTGTGCTCACTGCCTGGCCCCACTCCCCCATTCCCTCCTCCAGTCCCTCTAACTCCCCTGCTGTCCCTGGACTGGAAGGCCAGCTTCTCCCCTTACTAGCTGTGCGAACGTGGGTGAGAGCCTCACGCCCTCAGTGCCTCCGTTTCCCCATCCGAACCTGCCCTAGGAAACAAGTGAGTGCAGGTAAGGCGCCCAGAAGCTGCCTGTTGTGAGTGCACCATGGCGTCTGGTGACTTTTCCTGCCATTGAGGGTTTAGTGCACTATTCCTGCAGGGTGTGTGTGGGCTTGAAGAGAGGGCATTGTTGATCCTGCAGAATGTTGCTGGATGACCAGTGACAAGATGGGAGGTGAGGGCATACAGAACCAGGAGCCACCCAAGGCTCTCCGGTGTTCGCTTTGCTCAGACTGGTGGAAATGCAAGGGTGAAGGGCTGCACCCCATTTCCTTTCCCACCGCCCTCTCACCCTCACTAGGTGTGCAGAGATGCTCCTGAGGTTTGGGGCGAAAGTGGATGGTCGGTCCGAGGAGGAAGAGGAGACCCCTTTGCATGTGGCCGCCCGGCTGGGCCATGTGGAGCTGGCAGACCTACTTCTAAGACGGGGCGCGGACCCAGATGCCCGAGACGCTGAAGGCTGGACACCGCTGCTGGCTGCCTGTGACACCCGCTGCACACCCGCCACTGACCCCGAGGCCACCGCAGCCCGCTGCCTCCAGCTGTGCCGCTTGCTGCTCTCTGCCGGTGCCGACCCCGATGCTGCCGACCAGGACAGGCGGCGGCCCCTGCATCTGGCCTGTCTCCGCGGCTATGGGGCCATCGTGGAACTGCTCCTGTCCTGTGGCGTCAGTGTCAACGCCATGGATTATGGGGGACACACAGCCCTGCACTGTGCTCTGCAGGGCCCCCCCTTGGCCCTGGCCCAGAGCCCAGAGCATGCAGTGCGAGCTCTGCTCAACCACGGTGCCGTCCGAATCTGGCCTGGGGCTCTCCCCAAGGTACGGGGCTGGGGGCAGAGGGAGGGCAACAAGGGCCAGGGAACAGGAGACCAGGCCTGTGTGCCCACACGCTCTGGATGTAGCCCAGGCCACTTGGGCATTTGATAGGTCAGTTCAGTCTGTCTTTCATTCCACAAGCCAGCAAAGCCCAACAGGGGGCAGAGGTGAGGACACAGACCAGGGGAGGAATGTGTGTGTGTACACATGTGTGAACGTGCATCCATGTGCGCACACATGTGTGTACACATACATGTGTACTCCATATGGACTGAGGGCAGTGGGGCCAGATTGTAAAGGATTGGAAGAGTCCGAGAGGAGGAGCCAGGATTGATGCGGACAGAAGGAGTGAGCTGATAAAAAAGCCTTAGGCAGCTCTGCCTGGCTGGTCCGATCAGTGAGACACTTGAAGCTCAGGCGAGGCTCCCGGGAGCAGGTGATGAGCCTGGGTCATGAGGTTCGAGAAGAGCTTGGGAGCTTGGTCCTGGTTTCTGGGTGCTTGGCAGGACAGGCATCACCCAGTTCCGCGCGGCTGTCCTGGCACCTGGGAAAAAATCCTTCACTATCAATTTCCAATCTGTCTCTTAATTTATGTTAACGTCCCCAAAGGGGGTTCACCTGGAAGACCTGTTACTGATGCCCTGGCAGGGGGCCCTGTCCCATGCAGTGTCGTGTCTGGAGGTGGTTATATGACGTCATGAAGGGCACTGGGTTTTGGGTTGGGTCAGGACTGATATGGCTGTGGGCAGGGGCCCCTGCCCTATCTCCCTGCTTATTCCGTCCAGCCTGGCCTTGTCCTGGATGCTCCCCTTCTGTCCCTACCTTTCCCCTCCACTCACAAACCTAGAAGCATTTGTCTAGATTCCTAAGCAAGACCAAATAATTAAGCAGCCTGAGAGTTCGGCAGATTGGTCTCCCCTTTGGGAGAATACAAGAAAATCAACAATTAACACTAATTAATCTCCTATTAACACCAGATAATTAGGAGACAAGTAATTCCCTGTAATCTGACAGTGGCTCTGACAGCTAATGATTCCCGGAGTCAGAAACAGGGTGGGAGGAGGAGGTGGAACAGCAAGCCGATTTCCCAGGACCCCTCTGCCGGCCCCTCTGGCCCTGCTCCTCCCTGCCTCCCGGACCAAGGGGGCCACACAGCAAAGAGCCCCATTCATCCCTTCATGATTGGAAAGTGCAGGATCCATTTCCCACGATTGGACAGTTATGCCAGGCTCGCTGGGATGCCTGTTCTCTGGTGAGGAACTCCTCCCTGCTAGGAGGTCTCCGTGGCCCACCTGGGACCACTGCCAGCCCCAGCCAGTTCTCTAGGAGCCACCATACGGGACTGAGCACTTAGGAGACCCGGTTTTGATGCTCGTGTGACTATAGGCAAGTCACTGGAATTTTTTGAACCCAAGTTCCCTGCGACCAACCGTGATGAAAGCGATTGGAGCACAGTGGGTAACAGTAGAGCCAGCACAGTCCTGCCCCCACACAGACACCGTTTGAAGCTGTGTGACCTGTTACATGGGTCCCCTTAGTCCTCCCAACAACCTCTGAGGTAGGCGGCGGCTGAGAGTGCAGGCTCTGGAGCCAGGCACACTATCTGGGTGACCCTTGGCAGGTTGCTTAGTCTCTCTGGGCCTTAGTTTCCTCATCTGTAAAATAGGAACATAACAGTATGCCTGATTCTTAGGTTAGTGTGAGAACTGAACGGGTTTACACATACAAAGCTCTTTGGACAGGGCCTAACTGGAGTCCGTGTGCAACCCCTGTTAGCTAGCATTGTTTTGAAATTGCATAGTGTGTGTGAAAGCACTTGGAAAGCTGTTAGGCGTTATCCCAATGTAGGGTATCATAGACAAGGGAGAGAGAGGCACAGGCTGGAACGCAGGAGAGTTCCTGGAGGGGAGGGGACTTGGGCTTGAAGAGCTGGAGGCACGGGCATTCCAGGCAGCGTGCAGAGACAAATCAACGTGGGCCAGGACAGACAGAGACTGGCCCCAACAGCAGGCAGGAGGAGCAGGTCGAGCAGGGAAGTCCGATGTAACCAGCTTGCAACTTCTTAGCTCCAAGGAGTGAGGCAAAGAGGCCTGCCCTGGGCAGATAGCTGGGGCAGCTTCGGTGAGCACTGCCCCGATGCAGGGCCAGAAACAGAGGGCCGTGGGTGTGTGCGATGCTTTCTCCAGGGGTCCTGCTTCCTGGACAAGGCCTTCCCCCTGCTCCCATTATCTGGCGGTGCCCAGTCCATGCAGCACTCCCAGCCGGCCAGGCAGATGGGTCTTCCCTCCTTGTGCAGGGTGTTAAGGCCCCTAATGCCAGTGTGTGGGGAGGGAAGTGGGGTATGTACAGAGATGCTGCCTGGTACATGGCACCTGGCTGTTTTCAGATTTTACAAAGAATCTGTGGCCGGTAGCTTGACATATAGCAAGAAATGGAGGTGAAGCACGCATCTGCTTATGGGTATTACATGCAGGCATGGGTGGTATGACAATACCTGTGTGTGCCACACCTGTGCATGGTTGCCTTTCTGACTACGTGGATGGTCCCCCAGCATGGGCAGCTTCCTGGCATGGCTTGCCCTCACTGCATCCAGGTGTGGGCAAGGTTGGTTTCTTCCAGAGGCTCTGAGAGAGAATCTGTTCCATGCCTGTCCCCAAGCTTTTGGTGGCTGCCCACACTCCTGGGCGCTCCTTGACTTGTAGGCTCATCACTCCAATCTCTGCCTCCATTGTCACATGGCATTCTCCCTGTGTGATGTCTGTGTTCTGTTTTCTCGTCTTATAAAGATAGCAGTCATATTGGATTAGGACCCATCCTAATGGCCTCATTTTAACTTGATTACATCGGCAAAGGCCCTATCTCTGAATAGGTCACATTTATAGGTCCTAGGGGTTAGGACATCCACATATCCTTTGGGGAGGTAATTAAAGCCACACAGCTGTTCTGGGCTGGCTGGTCATCCTGGGTGGACTGACTGGGACCTGCAGTGTGGGGTAACCCTGGGAACACTCACTACCTCTGCCTCCTCCAGGTGCTGGAACGCTGGTGCTCGTCCCCGCGGACCATCGAGGTCCTGATGAACACCTACAGTGTCATGAAGCTTCCTGAGGAGGCCGCGGGTCTGGTACCTCCTGAAATTCTGCAGGTTAGCCTCCAGGACCCTGACCACACAATCGCTCAGCCTGTCCAGGAGACTCCCACCTCCTAAAGGAAACCCCATGGGTCCCACCACTCTGCCCCACAGAAATTATCCAGAGACCCTCTTATGTCCCAGAAGAAGAAAACTTAGAGTGAACACCCCACGAGGCTCCAGAAGATACCCACTGGCCACCAGCCTACCCCTGTGGGAGCAATGGGTGCCTCTTGTCCCAGGCTGCCTCGCTGAGCCCTCCATTCTATCCCCAGAAGCACCACCGATTCTACTCCTCCCTCTTCGCCTTGGTGAGGCAGCCCCGATCGCTGCAGCACCTGAGCCGCTGTGTGCTCCGAGCTCACCTAGAGGCCTGCCTGCCCCACGCCCTGCCCCGCCTTCCCCTGCCACCCCGCCTGCTCCGCTACCTGCAGCTGGACTTTGAGGACGTGCTCTACTAGGTGAGTCCTGGCTTCTGTGGACAGTCCCAGCAGTTCTTTTTTTTTTTTTTTTTGGAGGGGGAGGGTAGGAGGCAAGAGGGGAGTTGGGGGCAGTGTCCTGGCCAGAACCAGCCAGCCTCCCATAGCACTGGACCTCTCCGAATGCACGTCTCTCCTTCCAGATGAACGCTGCACTTGGAGAGAGCCTAAAAGCAAGTGCCCCGGACACCAGGGGCTCTGGCCTGCTTCTCACAGTGCACCAAACCCAGGACTGCACGGAACCAACTCAAGCCCAGGTGGCCCTCTCAGCCGGAGGTCCATCTCCACGGGCAGAGTGGATGCTGCCATTCCCACCAGGGAGAGGCGGATGGACCATGTTTGCTGGAGGGAGAGCTAGGACTCATGGCAAGTGAAAATCTCCCCTTGGGGGTCTCCTGGGATCCTCTCTGGACAGTCCGAATCCTGCATGCACATTAAAGTCTCCAGACCTGTGTTGTTTGGTATTATCTCCAATAGGCCTGCCTCTGAGCTGGCCCACTCACTGGGGCCTCAGGATGGGCAGACTGGGTCTGTTCCATGGTGCCAGCCGTGTCACCTTCCCCCTCTGGCATCCACCAGCTGTTGAGGGATCCCAGGCAGATCCCTGCCCCTGTGCCCCCTGAGAGTGTCAGAAAAGTCCCAAAGGACAGCCGACTAGTAGATGACTAGGGTTAGGGCAGAGCCTCAGCAGATGAGGCCGTGCAGACAGTGGGGCAGGAGAGTAAAGGTAGCTGGGAGTGGGGAGCGGGCGCGAGGACAGAAAGGCCAAGGGGAAGTTAGGTGCCCAGGTGGGCAAGCATGGAGGGGTAGCCATGGATAAGGAGAGAGTGGAAGACCCAGGTTTAGAAAAAATAAACTCCCCCAAAGCTCTCCCTCTTCCCTGTCCTGTAGGTCAGGGAGCATCCGATACACACTGGTTCCTGCCACTGTTGATCTGCTCCTTCAATTTAGCTTTGAGGTGGCAGGAGCTGAACTGAGAGTTACACCCTTGGGTTCTAGCCATTAACTTACGGAACGTAAGTCTCTTCCCCGCTCTGGGCTGTAAAACAAGACAGGAGGGAGTTCCAGAGGGTCTTTGCAGAACCAGGATTTTAAGAACCTGCAGGGGTCCCCAGCAGCCAGGAGCCGGCCTGCAGGGACAGGAGGAAGGGAGGGAGGCGGAGTTGACCGGAGCCGCAGAGCAGCCAATCAAGTGCACTGTAATCCGTGACGACACGGTTGCTAGACAGATTTCCAGGGCCACGGAGTGCGCACGCGCCGGAGTTCACGATTTTCCCGCCAACAGCCGGGCTGGCCTGGAGGGCGCGAGGCGGCGGGGCGGGGCTTGGAGGGCGCGGAGCTCGCGGGTTGAAGGAGCAGCTGAGGCCGACGGGCCGGTCGAGGTCAGTGAGCCTGGCTTCCCACCGGGCCTCTCTGGCCTTGGGCTGACCGGCGGTTGCGCGAGGACGGATGCCTGCCGGGAGGGCCGGCGCCGGGAGCCCAGGCCCACAGAGGTCAGGCCAATGGCGGGCTGTGTGGGGCGTCCAGGTCCCGCCTCGGGACAAGTGGGAGCGGGTTGTGAGAGACGCGTCAAGAGCGGTTTCCGCGAGGCCTGTGCCGGGCGGGCGGGGAGGGGGGCGCGGAGCGGGGGGGCCGTTCTGTACTTCGGCCTCTGGAGGGCGCGGCCCGGGGAGAAGCCCGTGTCCGCTCACGGGTTCAGCGGCGCGGTCCGCCCAGTGGGGGGCGCTAAGCAGACCCGGAAGGAGCGGCTCCCGGTGGAGGAGCTCCCACGTGACTGGCGGGGCGGTGGGGAGCGGTGTGAGGGGGAGGGTGTGAGGGGGGCAGGGACGCCCCTCTTTGAGGAGGTGGCCTTTGCTTCCACCCGGGGCCTGAGTGACGGGGAGGAGCCAGCCGTGAGGGAGAGCCCCCCCCCTCCCCCGAACGCTCGCGGACGGACGGGTTTAAAGGGTCGCTCGGCCCGAGTGGCTGGCGGGGCGGGGGAGGGAGAGTCAGGGACTTCGGGGCGGCCCGGCCGTTGGGGAGGCCGCAGGCCAGGCCCCCTCCAGACCCCGGGCCCCGCGGAAGGACGGGCGGCCGGGGCCGGGACCGAGCCGCGGGACGGCGTGCTGACGACGAGGCGGGAGAGGGGCAGGCGCGCGGACCGGGCTCCATGGGGCTCCCGTGCACGTGCGTCCCTAGGCCGCGGGACGGCGGCTGGTCTGCGGGTCTGGAAGGCAGGACGAGGGCCGGTCGGGGACGCACGGGGGTCGCTGGGCGGTGGCAGAGGCTGAACGCTCTGCTCCAAGAGGACCCCCGCTCTCGAGGATGCCTGGCTTTCCGAGAGCGCCGTGTGTGCGTTCTGATGGGAAAT